GGAATTTTGAACAACCGCCATGTGCATTTCAGGGCATTAACTAACGTGGCATTTCATTCAGTCCCTGCTACTCCATGGGTGGAACCAGGATGCCCATTTTATCGACGCGGTGGAGGTCTCGTCCCATGGCTCAGCCACTCCCAGGCTCGCCACCATTGAGTCCGGAAGCGAAGAAACAGATTCCGCGCTCCGGCCGCAGAAGTCACGGGTTGGCAAAGGCGTTTTCAGGCGAATTTTTCTTCCTGCTGAGCCACAGTGTGTGGCCAGTGTGGGGCAGCTGCAAGCCTTGGGCACTGCCGAGGTACAGGATGAAACAAGGGCTTGGTCGCAGGCAGTGGGGGTGAACAATCATGACAACTGGTGCCTTAGTCGCACAACTCCAGGGTTCCGTAGTAAGGACGCTATAGGACTACCACCATTTCCTGATGAGTCAGAAGCAGGTCGCTACAACATGGATGATACTATTGTGGGGTGGAGAAAGGTGTCCTGCTAGTTATAGAAATTTCCGGATAAATGCGGAGGACACTTGAGAGAGCTGATAAATGCCGTGGCCTATGAATGCGGCCGTTCATCACAGGCAAGTCCAGAGTTTGAATTTCGAGGATCCTGAGACTCATGTCAGCACCAGGCATAAGAATTACAATTCAATTCCACAACTTCGTGTTGTACAAACATTGCATACGACGGTCTTTGTCCAGCACAAGGCCGTCCCTTCGAGATGAACGGCAGGCCGCTAGCTCACTTTCGCTGACTTCTTCCGTGGAGTACCTCAGCTGGATAGGGGCACTGGGTCTGAGAACAAACGGTCACACCCAAAATATACCCTAGAATCCTTATAACCCCTATAATCCTTGTAGATCCTGTAGTTTCCATTTTTTCCACTATCCCAATATAACTACGGTGGATACTAAAAATCCTGCATGACCCCTAGTACGTTATACCTTGGGAATTATGGTATTACAGTAATATTAGGGTCATGTAGGATTTTGAGTATCAACAGTATGCCGAAGCAAGGCGGACTTGGGACCGTTTCGACGGCCTGAACACGCAAGTTTCCAACCTCACAGCCGCCTTTCCCTTGCATGAACCACCGCGTGCTCACGAGGCTTTGGAGGTAATATGGAAACAACTATTTAGGGTTCAGGGTTTAGGGTTTAGGGTTCAGGGTTTAGGTCATATTAGGGTCATCTTGGGGTTATAATGGAAAGGAAAATGGAGACTACAGGGGTTATATAGGGTTTAAAAAAGGGAAACATAGGGTATATATTGGGGTTATACAGGGATTATGGAAAAGAAAATGGAAGCTACTATAGTATGTTGGGGTTATATAGGGATAATGGAAAGGACTATAGTATTTTGGGAGTTATATAGGGATAATGGAAAAGAAAAGGAAGCTACTGTAGTATATCGGGGTTATATAGGGATGATGGAAGAGAAAATGGAAACTACTATAGTATATTGGGGGTTGTATAGGGAAAATGGAAGAGAAAATGGAAACTGCTACAGTATGTTGGGGTTGTATAGGGATAATGGGAAAGAAAATGGAAGCTACTATAGTATATTGGGGTTACATAGGGATACTGGAAGCCACTATAGTATATTGGGGGTGATATTGGGGTAATGGAAAAGAAAATGGAAACTACTACAGTATATTGGGTTTATGTACGGATGATGGAAGAGAAAATGGAAACTACTATAGTATGTTGGGGGTTATATTGGGATGATGGAAGACAAAATGGAAACTACTATAGCATATTGGGGTTATATAGGGATGATGGAGAAGAACATGGAAACCACTACAGTAGATTGGGGTTGTATAGGGATACTGGAAAAGAAAATGGAAACTGCTATAGCATATTGGGGATGATATTGGGATAATGGAAAAGAACATGGAAACTACTATAGCATGTTGGGGGTTATTTTGGGATGGTGGAAGAGAAAATGGAAGCTACTAAAACATGTTGGGGTTATATAGGGGAAATGGAAAAGAAAATGAAAGCTACTATAGTATATTGGGGTTGTATAGGGGTAATGGAAAAGAAGATGGAAACTACTATATAGCATATATAGGGGTAATATTAGGATAATGGAAAATGGAATGGAAGCTACTATAATGGGGTTGTATAGGCTTTAGGGCTTAGGGTTAAGAGTTTAGGATTTATTGCATTTGTGCTGCGCTCTACTGCCGGTGTTTCCCACATAAGGGGTTCCTTTTGTGCATGCCCTGATTGCTTGAAAGAATCTGAAGGTGCCGGTGCCTTTCGAAGACGTGACGGAGCCCGGTGATGTGCAGCCTTTTCTTGCCGGAGCCCTCGCAAACATGCATGATGAGGCCAGGAAGATCTGTCAAGCCTGGGCGTCCATCTCCACATAGGGCTTATACAGGGATATCACACCAATAGTGAACAAATGGAAAACAAATTGCACAATGACATAGAATAGCAACTAGGTTTATATAGGGGCTTCTAGTAGGGACTAGGGTTTGCATAAAGTGGGGGTCCCCAATTTTCGGAAGCTACCATATTTGTGGGCAATGTCAAATTGTTCACCTGGTCTTCCTTCGTCATAATCCCTACTATAAACCTCCTATAAACCTCCATATGAAAACGGTTTCCATTTGATTTGCGATTTTTCTTTGGCATATAAGCCCTGTATAACCCTATCAAAGATTATATATACATTCTATAAACCCCAAAGCCTAAGCACTAAACCCTATAGAAATCCGAATACAAGCACTTCAACACCCTACATGAGGTTATAAGTAAATAAATAAATATACACATATATACATCCTATAAACCCAAACCCTAAACCCTATAGTTACCCTAAACCCTAAACCCTAAACCCTATAGTTCTAAACCCCAAGGATCCCGCCATATCCGCAGATTCCGCTTTCGCAAGGCGCCGCCTGCATCGAGACCACGAGGCTCGGAGCAGGCTCGAGCCGACTTCAAGGGGTTTAGGGTTTAGGGTTTAGGGGGATATATTGGGATAATGGAAAAGAAAATGGAAACTACTGTAGTATATTATGGTTATAATGGGATAATGGAAAAGAAAATGGAAACTACTGTAGTATATTGGGGTTATATTGGGATAGGGAGTAGTACCCAATAATATAGGGTTTAGGGCCCTATAATGGAGAATCAAATGGAAAAGAAAATGGAAAATGAAATGGAAACAAGGGAATATATTAGGGATTAGGGATTAGGGTTTAGGGTTTAGGGTTTAGTATTGGGAGTACTTGGAGGGTCAGGGGGACTTAGTAAGTAGGTTAAAAATAGGGAGAAGTAGGGTTACTATATAGATTATGGGGGTTATCAACCTACTTACTAAGTCCCCTTGACCCTCCAAGTAGTATTGGGATAATGGAAAATAAAATGGAAACTACTATAACGGGATATATTAGGGTTCTATGGTACCCCAATAATGGAGAATCAAATGGAAAAGAAAATGGAACATGAAATGGAAACTGGGATTATATAGGGGTTATTTGGAACCTGATATAGAGTAAGATTATATCCTCCTTTTGGGGTATAGTATTTTCATATAAGGAATGTAATCTTACTGGGTTGAACCACCAAAAAAACACTACTCAGGGAGCCCAATACCCCTTAATTAAGGATACACCTTAAACCACATTAATGCTCCTAGTATAATTTAAGGAACATTCCGCAATTAAGCTATATTGGGCTCTCTGGCTTAAGGTTGGGGTTTAGGGCTGAAGGGTTGAGGGTTTAGGGCTTAGGAAAGTTGAGGATTAGGGCTTAAGGGTTTAGGCTGTGGGGATCATGGAAACAGAGAAATACAGGTTACATTTATACAGGGCCTATATGGGTGATAATATGTGGGGGTTAGGATGGGTTGGGCATACAGACACCACTAAATTCAAATAGAGTGTGTATAGGAGATGTTAATAGGTGTCACGGAAAAGAAATGCAAGCTGTGAAGATCTGTTTAGGGTTTAGGGTTAAGGTAAGCGACTGCAAATGACTTCAGGACTACATCTTGGAGGTGTGGGAGCGATACCAGGATGCTGAGGGGAGGCATTGGTTTTTTTGCCCCCGCAACAGCGACTGGTTTTACACTGATGAGGCTGAGTCCTCATGCTGGTACCAGTTCTGTGACCCCAACATGCCAGAGACGCTATGGTGGTGGAACTCACGGAGTAATCGTGCATTCTTTGAGCCGTAATGGCGACCGACATGCAGGCACTGGGATCTAGGTCAAGAAGCTCCTACATCAGAGATCATTAGAGCCTGATAAGCCGGTGTGATGAGTAGGTATGCTGATTAGACCTTATTTATCGAGGGCGCTTGCTTTGGTACTGTGTTTTTTGTTTCTGAAGTTCAGCGCAGCGTGCACCTGGACCCTAAGAGCCTTTGGGCTAGGTCGGAGCACGGCAGCTGTACGTAATCTTTTCACTCTCCAGTACTGTACTTCTCCTGGAGAATGTGGAACGCATGCAAGTGAGCCATACTCTAAACTCCTTCAGGCGTGATTTAGAAGGGATTATATCAACATAGGGGACTATTGGGGTTATTTAGGGGGACACTAGGAGTTTAGACTATAGCTCAAGTGACTTCAAGCTGGACTGGGTGGCTTCCGACCGCTGAAGCGTGCACAGCCATGCAGACATGGTAGTTTCCCTGAATAGGGGGGCCCCAATACAGACCCCGCGATGCCATACGCCTTATTATAGGGACCCTCAAAAAGGTATCCCTGATTTTGGGAAAGC